GTCCGGAAGAGGGGGCCGTCCTCGATCAGCCGGACAACTTTGCCCGGGTCCTCGGACCTCGACGGGACTCGCCTCCATGCAGCCGTCACTTCGCTCATGCAAGCTTGCAGAAACTGCAGCGTCTCCGCCGTGGTCACGCGCCGTGGGGGGCCGAAGAATCCCTGCAGAAAGGAACCTCGAATTGAGCGAATCTTCATCGAAGCTCTGCCACAATCAAATGTTGTCATCTCCATCGGATTTGGAGGTTGCCCAAAAGCTCCTAAAATCCATGGCCCTCACAAAACTGCCCCCCAAACTGGCCCTCAACAAAGCTAGCCTCTGAACAGGCCCTAAAGTGGGCCCCTCGAAAGTAGCCCACCAAAGCGAGCGCTAGAGGAATCGGGCCCAAACGCGGCCCTACAAAACCGGCCAAGGGCCGAAATGGGCCTCACAAAACTGTCGCGCTATGTACGAAGACTTGCTCACTGTGTCCTTTGCAAAGCCATGCAAAGCCGGACAGTCGGACAAAGTCTAACGCAGGCACGATGATCTTCACTTCCCACCTTGAGTCGCTCAGAATGTTGGCCACAGGAGGCCCCCACGCCAGACTGGGAACCGGACGCCCGATTGAGAGGGGAATCGACAGCCACTTGCTGGTCCAGACGGTCGCCATCAGCATGCTGCGAGTGAAAAAAAAAGATTAGTCATGTCTAATTCCCAGCAATGGAGCACGTGTCTCAGGCAGCATTGTCAACACCTTTGCAGACAAATACTTCTGGAGGGCCGTCAAGCAGCATTCCCGAGGAGCACAGGATTGGACGATCGGACCTGAATCGCTGTGCGTTGCATGGCTCGACTCGAGCAAGACAAGAAGCGATGCGCATAGTGAGAGAGACAGACGAGATGGAACGAATACCTGCAAAGCAGACTCGTCGGCCGCGTCCGATGCATGCGGTGCCATAGCCGTCGTTCCCTGCACGTCAAAACCAAGTTGACTCCCTGATAGCGCACCAAATTTGGAGACGCAGACTTCAGCTTGAAACAAAGGCAGTGGCTTCTGCAGATTGAGCACGATCCAAAGTTACGTGCTCAGCATCAAGCGAGTAACCTGAAAGAGCAAAGGGCAAGTGGCTTCTCCAGCTCAAGAACAATCCGCTCATTGATTGCCTAACTTGAAGCGAGTAACCTGGACGAGCTAGGCACCACATGCAGTCTCCTCACCTGCTGTTTCGGGGCGCAGAGTCGCGCGGCCGGTACCTCTTGCGCACAGTCCAGCATCACGGAGATGGACGACTGAACGAAGCAGTGGACCAGCGCGCTCTCCGTTTTCCGCACCCGCAGCGTCGCCTGCCAGGCTGCCCGAGCCGTCGTGCTCTTCTTGCACATGTAGAGGAACTTGGTGTGGAACCAGGGAACGTCGAAATTTACCCCTGCCTCGACAGTGGGGCTGTACATGAGCAAGCGAACCTTCCAGTTTTCTGCAACGTTTTTCAGGAGAGCCGTCGTTTCGCCGCCGCTCAAGGCCTTATGGATGAGGATCTCTGTGTCTGCAAGCACGAGCGAGTGCCGCGACATGACTTGGTCCCGGATGCGGTCCAGGACCTTCGCGGACATGCTGACGACGACCACGTTCTTGCCGGCTGCGAGGTCAGCGACTATTCGGTCCAGCCAAGTCTTCTCGTCCGGACCGATGCGGAACGTCAGAGGCACCTGCGCATGAAGCGATGCACAGACAATCAGCGCGCTAGGAGCTGCTTATGTGCGAAAGAGCATTGTGTACCAAGAAAGTCCGTTTTTGAATCTAGGAACACACAAATTGTGCTATCAAACACTACTTCCAAAACAAAGGTGACGGTATGGCCGGGCCCTGTTAGCGTGCAAGGAATGCCTCAAGGTGGTCAACGCAGCACGTACCGAGACAGATCTGCCTTCTAAGGCGCTTAAAAAGGAAAGGCCGCGGCGAAAAGGCCCAAGATTCCAATCCTTAAAACCTGTTTCTATTCCCTTCGACCAAAGCAGGACGCAGCAGAGCAAGCATGCTACGTCGAGCACTTCCAAACAGCCACAGTCTAAACGGCCGAAGCTTTGAACAACGACCGGTCCTCTCAAAGACGCGTTTCCGCATAAGCTATCATCGCTGATGAGATGCGATCAATTGGTGCCTACCGCTGCCCTTCTTGTGTTGACGACGAGCTTCCCAGGCACGTTCGCGAGTCGAAAAAAGTCGTGCTCCCGCTGCCCGTACCCGTCGTCCATGGCCAACACGCGCTTCGCCCGCTGGACAATTTCCAGGAACAGCTCACTGGTCTCCATGCCGTTCCTCAAGGTTGCCGCGGAGAGGTGCGCGAGGATGCTTGCCACCTCGTCCAGGATTACGAGGTCGAACGGGGCAACCTCACCGATGCCGCCCGGCCGCAGGTTCAGGAGGCTGTCCACCTGAACCACAATTTCAGGGAAGTCCTTGCGGGACCGGAGGGCCGTCAGGAGGTTGTGCTTGTCGTTGGGATCCTGAAA